CCGCCTCCGGCCCATTGACGACGATCTCCTCGAAGTGCTGGTGCAGGAGCTCGCCGAGCTTCGGCCGGCGGAAGGCGTAGTGGGAGCTGCCAGCCGCCAGCCCCAGCTCTATCAGCGACGTCTCCGTAGGCATGCGAATCATATGCTGGTCGCCCAGTCGAAGCGGCAGAAGGCGCACTTCCGGGCAGGAGGTCGAAGGTTTGGAGGAGGTAGAGGGGAAGAGGCCATTGAAGAGGAGCGACTGATCGTCGTCATCATCATCATCACCATCAAGGCCGCCGGAAGACTCCTCGGGTTCGATGACTCGAGGTCGATGAGGTGATGTTAGTGGTGGTGAATGTGGTGGGGTGAAAGTAGAAATTTCTGATGTCGAAGGCCTCGAAAGCTCGGAAGCCTCAGAGGATGTCTCGACCGTCGTCGTCGTGGTGAACCCGATGAGCTCGGTGAAGGACAGCTTTGGTAGCTCAAGTTCACTGTGCACTGTGTTCTCAGCTTCCGGCTCCTTCGCTGCTCCAAGGTCCGCCTCAATTCGGGTGTCATTTTGCTGCTGCCGCTGTTCAATGTACTGCTGGTACTGTCGCTGTTGTTCTTCATCCCAGATGATCACCTTCATCATCACCGCCTTTCAGCAAGGAGAGGGCAGAGGAATCGAAGGGAGAGGAAGAAGGATGAGCGAGAGAAAAAACGAGGGCAAATGGGAGGAAAAACATCGGAGGAAAGGAAAGTTCAGCGGTCTGCGAATCGAGGTAGCCTTACAACAGCATGACAGTGCCTGAATGCCCTTTCTTTTTTCCCCGCGCGAAAATCTTCTGCTGGAGCCGGTGGTGATGGTGACAGTGTTCACGGGTTCAATTGAAATCAGATTCGGTGAGGGTGATTCTGGTCCGAAAGGATTCAATGGATATTATGATCACTGGTGTGATGGCGTGAGGAAAATAGTGAGATGAAGAAGAGGCACTGGAAAACATTTGCAAAAGCCAGGCAGACACAGATTGCACAGGCGAGAGTTGCACAGAGGCAGAGGATCCGTTCGAATTTGTAGCCACAACAAAGCACAGTGGCGCCACCTGCCGGAGGGTGGAGCAAAGCGGAGCTCCAATGTGTCAACATTCGTGAGCATATCGAATCATTTTGGATCCACTTTTATTATTTCAAAGCGTTTTAAAAACAAGAGAATAAATCTAAAGAAGATAAAGAAGAGCAGGAGATAACAGAATTAAAGAAACTGAAATGCAACATTTGGTGGTTCAGCAGAGAAGAGAAGAGAACTGGGCTTGATTGTGAGTGTGCTCGAGCATGACCGGTTTTTGACACCGCTTTCTCTCAATTACAGTCGCGAAAAGAGTCCTCCAGCGGCGACAATCGACTCGCCGGTCATGTAGGAGGCGTCGTCGGAGCAGAGGAAGGTGACCACGCCGCCGATGTCGTCGGGGACGCCCAGTCTGAGTTGGATTTCGAAATGGAAACGAAAGGTTTTAGTTTACGTGTATATTTCAGGATTTCATCTCGATTCTTACCGCTTCATGAGCATCGGTCGCAGCGCCTCCTCCGCCGCCTCGGGATTAGTTGTGATGGCCGAGGCGAACTTGGTCTGGACGACGCCCGGGCAGACGGCGTTGACGCGAATGTTCAGCGGGGCACACTGCGCGGCGACGGCCTTCGTCAGGCCGAGGAGAGCCGTCTTGGAGACGGAGTACGTCGAGAGGACGGGGAAGATCTGGTAGGCGCCGATGGAGGCGTTGTAGACGATGGCCTTCGTCCCCCTGAAGAGGAGGAAGAAGATTTGGGTTACAAAATGTGTTCCAAAGTTTAGAAAAGAATTTGAGGCAGAAAAGTACTCACTCTCGCTTCTCCATGTGAGGCACAATCTCCTTGGTGAGGAGCATCGCCGCCTTCACGTTAATGTCGAAGATCTTGTCCCAGACTTCTTCTTCGGTCTACGAAAAATGACAAAATTAGCAATTTAGAAACTGAAAACAAAGTCCCGTTGTTTACCTCCAGAATCATGCCCACGCCCGGGTTGACGGCCGCATTCGAGACGAAGATGTCGATGCCGCCGAACTTTTCTAGCGTCTAAGAAAAAAGAGATGGATGGTCTTAATTTTTGTACCAAAACTTCGAAAATCCGAAAACTCACAAAGTTGACCAGCGCCTTTCGGTCGGCGTCCTTGCCCACGTGACAGACGATGCCCTCCACGGAGAGGCCCTCCTTGCGCAGGTCGGCCACCGTCCGGTCGACGTTGGCCTGCTTTCTAAAATGATAAAGAAGAAGAATGTTTAGAGAAATCGAATTTTCAGAAAAAGGGAGGATAGAAACTTACCGGCTACTGACGACCACCGAGGCGCCGCTTTGCGCCAGCCGCTGAGCAATTGACAGGCCGATTCTAAATTGAAAAAGTAAGGATTTAGAATTCTCGAGATTCTAAAGGGAAAAACAAAGACAAGTTTGAGATTACCCATCAGTGGAGGCGGTAACAATGGCTACCTTCTTCTCGAGGTTGTAGGAGATGGGCTTCTTTGCTGGGGAGGAAAAGGTTCGAAGAGCAGCACCCGAATTCGTCGTCGTCTTCAAGAGCAAGTTCTTCGCCACTGCTAAGCTCAGTCGGTTGGCCATGGTTTTTGGGTTGAGTTGAGTTGAGTTCTGAGAACACTTCAAATGAAAATGAAGCAGAAGAAGAAGCTGCCGACAGTTAAGGGTAAATAGGCAAAAGAGAAAAATAGAAGAGTCCAACCGTACAGGAGAAAACGGTTATCAAAACTCTCAATCGCACCAAATCGAGGAAAGTGACAACGAAAACACTGTCGGTATTTTGCCCAACAGATGTACCCTGGCGGTCTGCCCGCCTCCTCCGCTAGATGGCGCCAGGGTAGAAAACTCTATGTTTACGATTTGAATTTGAGATCTTTGATCTTTGATTTTTGGCCATTTTTAAGCCATCATCATCGCCAAAAAGGCAGTGAAATTTTTTAATATAAAAAATATCATGCATTTAGAAAAGGCCTCTTTCTTTCACTCTGATTCAGTTCCCTCTCTCGCCTTCCCCCGTCGACGTTTTGTCGCCCTTTGGCCGGTGGTAGTATCGTTGGAGTTGGAGTTGAAGACGCTAAAGTCCCTTCTGGTTTTGGTGCCACTCTCCACCCTCGTGGAGATCTTCTTCGGCGGCAGCAGCAGTGGAGCTCGCCGTGCAGCGGCAGACGCCGCCAAAGCCGCCGCCTTCTCCACCTCCTTTCGGTGCTTGTTCGTCCGCTGGTGGTCGAGAATGGCTCGGTGGTAGTACCTGGGGAAAATGGAAAATAGAACCGATTAGTTTCGATTTTACCAATTTCGAAATGACTGCAGTTCCTCTTACCTCGTCTGCGCCGCCACCAACTTCCGCCGACAGACCTTGCAGTAGAGATCATTGACCCGAAGGTGGCGCTCCTCCGGCGGCAGCTCGTACTCAAAGATCTCATTCTGCGCCAGGTCGCGCTCATCGACCAGGCCAAAGTCGGGGTAGCGGGCCACCAGGGCGGCGAGCTTCTTCAGCCGCGCAATCTCCGCCGCCGAGGTGGCGCCCGTGCTGGGCGAGGTGGTGAGGGCCACTGCCGTCGCTGAGGAGGTCGTCAATGGCAGCGGCTCAAAGACTGTCCGGTGCTTCGCCGTCCGGGCGTGGGTGGCCAGCGCCTTGGGCGTCACGCCGGTGAAGGTCCGGGCGCAGGTGTGGCAGGTGGCGGTGTAGCGGTTGGTGTACTTGCACCAGCGATCGAGTTCGA